GGGAGAGAGCTAGGAGGTCTAAAGGAGAGAGCTAGCAGGTCTAAGGGGAGAGAGCTAGCGGGTCTAAGGGGAGAGAGCTAGCAGGTCTAAGGAGAGAGCTAGCAGGTCTAATAGGGGGCATGCAGCAGGTCTAACAGGAGAGTCTCGAGACTGTACTCTCCACACTGTCCACCTATAGGAGCTTACCCCCGGACTGCAGACCTTGTGTGTACATAGACAATGGCCATTCCCCAGGTATTGTGTTCCTGTCCCAGGACCTGAGGACTTTTGCCCAGGGACTCAGGGAGGGACCAGGTGTGGGTACTTGAGACCCAGGCCAGGCCTTCTTGGCTTGGCTCCAGAAGACGGGGTGCACGCTGCTCCTCAGGGCCCCTGGTGTAGATGCACGGGGCTTCAAGCCTCTGCACTCTGGCAGCCTGTCAGGGCAGCCAGAAGACACTGGAGCTGTCAACAAGACACACAGTGCTGGGGCCGGGTGGCAAGAGCTCAGGCTTGGGCTGGGCTCAGGAGTGAGGACAGCTCAGTATGGCTACCAGTGCCCTCCACACGTGGGCTGGAGTCCACCTGTGCATAATGGGCACGGGGTGCAGGCTCTCACTCTAACCTCTCCGGCAGCTGGATGCTTTGCTGCGCACCCACACCCAGCCACCAGGTGTCGCCCTTTCCAGGTTGGAGCTTCAGCTGGGTGAAGGCGGCATGTGACACCCCACGCTGGGTGAAGGGTGGGGGACCCTCTGGGTGGTGCTGGCCTCAGGTCTGAAGCAGACGGGGGAGGGGGTACTCCCAGATGCTGCCCAGCAGCCCCTGGGCTACAGGAAATGGGGGGGCCCCGGACAGGGGCCGTGCCCCCCCCCCCCAGGCCCCTGAGCCACCTATGAAATGGTAGTGCTGACCTGGCCAACAGCACCCTGTACCACTCTGTCCAGGTGGTCTTGGCACCTCCAGCCACAGCACGGGGGGCTCAGCTCTAGGGCCATCTGTAGTCCCAGCACCTCCAGCCACAGCACAGGGG